CCCCCCCCCCCCCCTTTTTTTTTTACTTCTACCACCTTTAAAGGCACTGGAAAAAAATTCAGGGCTTCAGAAGTTCCTTGCATCCAGGCTCCTCGGATGTAGGGGGCAAAAGGGTTCCCACTCCAAGGAGCCCGTGGGCTGAGGCACCCACCCCACCCACAGGGGTGCTGGGTCCCAGGGCCCAGGCAGGAGGGCGGGCAGACACGTGGTGCCTGGGGCCGGTGCCCGAGGTCCATGAGGAAGGACACTTGGGGTGAAGCCAGGAGCCTGGGACCAGGGGGTTGGATGAAGAGGGCCCAGTGGGTTTCCAAAGCCCTTCAGCCCCATGGGACCGAAGCCTTGGGAAAGGGAAGAAAAAGTACTGCTGTGGCAGCCGATCCCCGATTCTCATCCTGGCTTTTTCTTCCTCTATTTCCACCTGAAGGCTGACAGGGGGGGGAGGGAGGGAGAGGAAGGGTAGGGGGAAAGGTTGGTTGAGGTTGTGGGGAATTCCGGTCGATACTCACAGACCTGGAGCGCGCAGTGTGGCAGCTTCTGCTCTCAGGACTTAGGATGTAGGTGCTTGGCCCTTAAATAAGGCGACAAATCCATTCAACGCCCCCACCCAACTCCTGGGGCAAGAGCACTCCCCTCCCCCTCCCGTCCCCTCCCAGACCCACCCTACCCCTGGACTGGAGCTCCTCTTGTTCAGATCCAGCCGCGAGGAATCTTTAATCTCTGTCACTTAAAAAATTTAACCGTTTTAAAGATTATAATGTTATAAAGAAACGGGAGTGCTGGGGGCCGCCTGGAGGGGGTCCATGAGGGGGAAAAGGGGACATGAGTAATACTTTCACCAATAAAGAACTATTAAAAATAAATTAGTCATATTGCTTGGTAGTTAAAAAAAATTCCAAAAAAAAAAAACCACCCCAAAACAGACAAACCCTATCTCTAGGTGGTTAAAAAAACACACAAATCTCATATTGCTTTGGCGGTTAAAACATTTTTTTTATATCTCTTGATTGTGAGGTAATAAATTCTTTTATTATTCCACCAAAAGCAAGTAATTGTGAAAATGGCAAAATGCGGGGAATTACCCACAAGAGAGGAACTCCACCTCCTGGGGGAAGGATAAGAAATTGTGCACAATAAATACCTAAATATCAGCTATTGCTGTATGGACCCGGCAAATGAGAGACCAGGCGCTTTGCTGGTTCTACTGGGTGAAAGGGGTGACCAGGGCCCTGGGTTTTGGCGTCTGTAGTTGAGGGTTTCCATGGGGGAGGTGATATTTTTTCCTCCCCAGGAGAGACTTGGGACATTTTTTGTCTTCACAAGTGATGTGGGCGAGGGGCTGGGTGCCAGGGCCCGGGGCTGCGGGTTCACTCCCTACAACAGGGTTCAGGCCCTTCCATAAAGTCTTGTCCCGGCCCTAACACGTGAGTAGGGCCAACGCTGGCGATCCCTGCTGTCCCAACAATCGATCCCGGATTCTCATCCTTGAGTTTTGTGCCTCTACCTGTTCCTTAAGGGCGAGAGGTTTGGGGTTGGGGGCGGTGATTGAGGCTGTGGGGAAATCCGGGCCAAACTCACAGATGTGGAGCGGGAAAGGAGGCAGCTTCTCTTCCCAAGAGCTGGGACGTAGGCGTTTGGTCTTCAATAAGGAGACACACCCATCAACGCCCCCACCCGACTCTCTGGGCAAGACCACTTCCCTCCCCCACCAGTCTCTGCCCAGAAAAACCTTGATGGGCTGCCTCCTACACCCCACATATGGGGGATGGAGCCCGCAACCCTGGCAGGTGCCCTTGACCGGAATGGAACCGGGGAGGGACCCTTCAGTGCACAGGCTGGCACGCCATCCACTGAGCCAGACCGGCCAGGGCCATTGGTTGAGTCTTGTCCAAGCCCTGACTGGCCAACCCCCTGCCTGGGGGGTCAGGACGACACTCTAAGCAGCTGGGCGTGATGGCCGGGACTGAACAGGG